ATATATATAAATCTAGCTTTTATTTATTATTTTTGATCACCAGAAGGTTTTATATTATGAAATGAAATGAAAGGGCCAGGGACTCAGGGACCCTCTGTACCTCTGAAAGAAGATTAGGCACAGTAAAACTTCAGCCTAGATCACATTTGCTGCTTCACAAACAATCAGTTCTTCAGCATGAATCTGAGACGAGAAGTACGTGCTCAATCCAGCTAGCTTGTCTGCCAAGGGCATTAGAGCAAACCCACGTTTGCCACCATGCAGTTCCCAACTGTTCTCTGTGTCCAGAAAGACAGATGCGTTTTTGGGGTTGTTAACGCTCTCAGTCACAGTTGCTTGCTTAATCTTTTGAATGATTTTGAAATAAATGAGAATAGGAACTAGAAATAGGTAGAAAAATCTGTGGGCTTTAGTAGTGAAGATGTGTGTGAAGATAAACCCCCTGACTTCTCAATCGCGTTCTCTCCTGCTGTCCTTCTGATTTGCAGTGGGCAACAGAAACCCAGCGCTAAATGTCAAAAGCAGGATGGTTGAGCTTGCCTGGCTCAGCTATAGCTCACCTGGCGTCTTGTCTTTCTTTGTTCAGCTGTTGTGTCTGCACTGATATTTTAAGCCCATGTTTTATGGCCGCACTAAAGACACTCAAAGAACGACGTTACTCTACAAACTAATTTTCCAGAGCGGAATGCAGCAAGTATATGCTATTCTCCATGTTTTTAGCCTAGTAGATCACCCAAAAATGCATGTTTGTAAGAAAAAAATCCATCAAGATGTTTTACAGTCCAAAACTTTTTGATGTGAGAGACAACAGGAGATGGACTTTTTCACTGGAGGAATATTTTAGCAGTGATTTGAAGTAAAAACGTCTTAATGATGAAAGTTTTTCTTACAAAAACACAGTTTTTAGCTTCACAAGATGTTAACTGGTGGACTGGAGTGGTGTGGATTGCTTGTGGATGTTTTTATCAGCTGTTTGGACTCTCATTCTGACGGCACCCATTCACTGCAGAGCATCCATTGGTGAGCAAGTGATGCAATGCTACATTTCTCCGAACCTGTTCCCATGAAGAAACAAACTCATCTACATCTTGGATGGCCTGAGGGTGAGTACATTTTAAGCAATTTTTAATTGTTTGGATGAGCTAAGTTCCTCAGGTGATATGCAGATCAAGTGCATGTGTGGGAAATCCACTCTTCTGCTTAGTCACCGAGATGTTCGAGGCTGTAATCAGTGTCAGCTCATCTTCCATGGAGGCCAACAATGTGTCTGGTGTGACTCTTGGTGGTCTCTGATCTCTGAGGCTACCAAGTTGTGGTTTATGAAATCATAAAGCGTTCTTTTTGCTCCACCCCCTTACACACACACACACACACACACACAGGTTTGTTTTTGTGAAAAGTGGGGACATCCCATAGGCGTTCTGGTTTTTATACTGAACAGACCGTATATTCTATTGCCCTACACCAACCCTACCCCCAAACCTACCCCTCACAGGAGACTTTCGCTATTTCAGATTTTCAATACACTCCATTCTGTGTGATTTATAAGCGTTTTGAAAAGTGGGGACATGGGGTAATGTCCTGAAAAGTCACCTTCTCCTTGTAATACCTATGTTATACCTTTGTCATTATACAAATTCATGTCCTCATTTGTCACAAAAACGCGCACACACACGCACACACATTTCCTCAAGCACATTAAGTGTTTAGAATAGTGTGTGTGTGTGTGTGTGTGAGATAGGAAGAGATAAAAAAAAGTGACAAATTGCTGCATCTGTTGGCTGTGCAGTGCATGCCTCTGCTAATCTCCAGTGATATATGCACCGTCAAGACATAAAGCCATGCAGCCTTTGGGGTTTTGTGAGTGTGTGTTTGTGCATTCACACATGTTTTATGCACTAAGTCACACCTCCAAGAGCTCTGTGTCCATATGTCTCTGTCTATCAGCGGAAAACATCTGAATCACAATATGAGAAAAATCCCCATTAGCTGGCATGTTATTTTGACTTCTAACTTGTGTGTGCATGTGTGTGTGTGTTTAACTCAACATTTTGCACAAGACATCAAGACTGTGGCGACTACACAGAGCGTTTGCTCTGATGATAGGGGATTATGGGTAACGTTTGCATCTGTCGGGGCTGCAGTGAGTCAGTGGCCTCACCAGCTGTGCAAGCAACTGGTTTTCTGCATATGGAGGTCAGGGTGAGATAACCCTCATGCGGATGATTTATGTTTGCATACACGTGTTTTCCTGTGTGTGTGTGTGTTTCTTCCTGATTGTCAGATGTCTTCCTGGTTGTGTGGCTCCACAACTGTGAAGTTCTTCAGCAGCAACATTTGTTTCTGTCAGACATCTTGTTCGTGGTGTTCAGTCAGGGGGGCGTTTTCTCTGAGGAGGAAATGGAGGAAGTGTCTATCGCACAATCCACAGTGCAAAACAAAACAAAATACATATTAGATAAATAGTGCGTCCTGTTTTTTAATACGTTTTTTTTTTGTATATGTTTGTTTAGTAAGTCTCAATATAATGTGCACTGGGTCAAAACTGCATTGTTTTACTAACATATAAATCCCATTTTATTATTACATTCAGAAATAAATTAAAATATTGGTAAACAAAACATCTACAAAAATTGTAAACACTATAAATATGTATTTTAGGTTCCCTCACTCCACAACAAATCCTTTAAATGTAATGGTATTCTGAACAGAACCTATATTAAAAATACAAGAATACAACAAACAGATTCTAGCTGTGCTATTCGTTATAAACAGCAAAGAAGCCAAAACTAATTATTTAAAGCGAGACTGAAACTAGTGGAATGTGGGAAAATAAAGAAGGTAACAGTGAGCTATAAGGTCACAATTAACCACTCCTCTTTCTATAGTTATGCTGTCCAGTTATAGTTGTGGATTTTTTTTATTTTTTGACTAATGGTCATAAAAGCAGCTATACTGTAAAACTACAACTTCCTGTTTTAAAATTGTATTTTAAAGATTGATTGAAATATATGAAGTAGAAAAAGTTAACATTGTGGACAATATCAAATAAAGTCTTTGTTTATTTAATAGGCCATTAATTATGAGCATAAAAAAAATTAATAAATATCTTAAAATATTAAATAGCAAGAACTTACAATGTCAAGTTCAGAGTCAAAATAACTTTTTTAAATTATTTAATTAATTTATTAATTTTATTTGTATAGTGCTTTTCACAATACACATTTTACAGACATATCATGGTCTTAATATCTTCATGCATTACAGTCCATTTAGCAGTTATACTATATATCCAGCTTTATATAAAGAGCATATATATATATATATATATATATATATATATATAATGCAACATTTTATAATATAGTAATATAATTTTAATTTTGCAACAATATAGCAATCACACTAATTTGCGAAATATTATATATCGCCTTTCTGTGATTTTACTATATATACTACATATCCAAGTTTATATAGAGAGCTGTGCAATAATATAGTTTACATTTAGCAATAATATAAACAATCACATTTGAAATTTGCTATATATTGCTTTACATGAGTGTACTGTATATATCCAACTTTATATAAAGAACTAAATGATATAGTTACATTTTGTGACAATAGAAACAATCCAAGCCAAGATTTGCTAGATAGTATACATTGTTTTTCGTGATGATGTTGTATGTAAACAGATATGTAGTGCTAGGCGATCAGGCAGCTAAGATTTGCCTATATAATGCAGTATATATTGCTTTTGTTGAGTCTACTGTATATATGTAATGTGACTCATTATACTAACTAAATATTAGATTATATCACAAAAAATCTGAAAAACGTATACAAATATAATAAATGATGATGCCTTTAATGTGGAATCTGTGTTCAAATGCTTATGCATTTCACAAAGTTGTATCCAGATTGACTCTATTTTAGTTGTAGGTGCTGGCAGACACTTTCAGTAACCCAGGCATGTGTATCAGATGGAAGCTCTGCTTCAGTCCCATAAGACCATGAAAAAACCCACACTCGTCATGGTAAAAGCCCCTAGTCCAAACAACTTCCCTCCCTTACTCAGTGTCCACACCTTTCCATGTCGCCTCAGTAGAGCATACTAAACCTCTCCGCTCCTTTATCTCTCCGGACAGCTCGGGTCATCGCGGCTTTGTTGCTACATTTAGACACGTCATATTTTCTAGAAGCGCAGACGTGTGCAGAAAACCCCTTTTTTTCTATCCAAACTTGCAGCGAAGGCACTGAACCCTGAACCCGAACCCAGACGTGCAGATCAGTTGTTTGAAACTGGCTTCTCAATGTAAACTCCTTCCCGCCTCTGAATCGGGCTCGGTTACAGAGGAGGTACGGACCGTGTGCTGTGTGTATTTACCCTGGTTAAAGATGTTGTTTCTACCACATGAGCCGATGCTGGGAGAGCCTGCGTTTAAATGTAATCATACTTAGTGAACTGATCATAAGCATCCTGCCGTAACGGGATACGTGTGTAGCCGGGGTAAAGATGCTCTTCGCTCCGGAGGAGTCGAATGGGAAGATATGGTGGATGGCTGGGCTTTATTTGTGTTGAGATATGAGATGTTGTCCGTGTCACACGTGTGATGTCTTCCTCCACATGTCATCTGCTCCGCTCAGTCCGTGTGGTTTTTAGCCGAGCCCCACAGATGGAGTCATTCGATACCCATCAAAATATCAGTTCATCTGAAGGGTAGTTTGTGTGTATTAATGCACTGGAAAAGCAGGCCGGCATCAGGTGAAGTAGTAACACACGGCACCGACTCGAAGCGCTTGTCAAATGCACTGTTTGGTTTCATTTTGAGATAACACATTTCATTCATTTGCATTATTCCTGTGAACTGCGGCAGTTAAATTCCAAAGAGATAAAAAGAAGTGTCCTTTAGCCTTCCTTTTTGGGATTCCTTTGCATAATGAGCCTTTGATAATGCACTTTGGGGAATGGGAGGGGAAGGGAATGCAGTGAGCAGCACCATTAAAAACCCAATTTATCACAGTCACAGTTTAAAGGAACAGTCCAGAAAAAACATTTAATTCTGTCTACTTGCTCGCTTCCATGTTGTGCTCCATTTTAGTCGAATCTCATTTGAATATGCAGATTTGCTGCATCATGATTGGTTACGAGACACCAGTGGAGTTTGGCATAATGTGTGTTAAATGGCAGAACTGGTGATCATGTGAATGCAGAGTCTTATTTAATTTGATATATAACATTTACTCTAATCTTTCATCTAAAAAACATAAACAGGATGGGTCGTGATACCATTTTAGGGTGCATTTTGTCATTTTTAAAGATTTACAGTATTTGCCCTTGTGAAAAAGAAGTACATTTTTGCATACTTTTAATAAGAGTACTTTTTACGGACATTAAAAACAATATGCTTTAAATGCAAGCTGAATGTAATGTTTTTTATTTACAATTAAATGAAAATGTAATTTTATATTAAATGCATGTGTGTGTAAATATTTTCAAAATATGTTCTGTATGTGTGTATTTATATATGCATAATAAACATACATATATATTATGTAAACAAAAACTTTTATTTTGGATGCGTTTGATTTTTTTGATTAAATGCATTTAGTTGAATTTTTTTGTTTTGTTTTGACCTACTTTAATAGAAATACATCTTTATATGTAATTTCATAATTACTCCTATTGTACTTTAATGTTTTTTTCTGTTGAAATTTGTCATGTATTTAAATATATTTGTAATTACACTTTTGTAATGATAAAGTTGCAATTTAGTACATGTAAAATATATTCACTTTCTGTGATAGCATGTAATATCAAATAACACACCAAAGTTAAAATGATAATCAAGTGCTTTAATATGTTTGTCAACACATCAAAATAAATGCACTTTAAAGCGTCAAAACATTATTAAAACATAATTTAAAGTGTACTTTAAAGTAAAACTTTTAATTCAGCATTGTTGCGAAGTGCACTTTTTAAAAGTGCACTTAAGTGTGTTAAGAAACAGTCATGAAAGTGTCTCTCTTTAAGTGGCCTTATATTTCATTGATATCATCTTATTTGCAATTACAGTTTTTTTATATACTTTTAATATTTACAGTACACTACAAGTGCATATTCAATCAAATTAAGCACACTTCTTTTTCACAGTGGTGTTCACCATTCATTTGCATTGTATGGGAAAGAGCAATGTGAACAGTCTGCTAAACGTCTCACGTTGTGTTCCACAAATTTGGAACAACATGAGGGTGTGCAAATGATGATAATTGTCCCTTTCAATATTTAACACAGATTGATTAATGCATGAGATGTTTCAAAGTGTATATGCCATTCAATGTTATTGCAATAATAAATCGTAGGATGTGACCTCGGGCATCTATTCAACGAGGGAGTCCGGCCACACCAAACTGAACTGTGAACTTGCAACTTCCCGTGCTGTAGGCGTCTGTTGCTAGGAAACAAGTGGCCCACTCCGTCAATTTCAGCTGGGGTGAAATGCGAGTGTTTTTCTTCACTTTTTTCTATGAGCTTTGGCTGGCCATCTTTTATTGATGTACAGTTTCCTTTGAGTCACAATGAGACTTTCTGTGGGCCAGGACACTTTCAAAAGAGAGGAAATGGGGGTGTGTTCGGAGGTCAAATAGTCCCTTTTGTGGGGCTCCTGGGGGACGATGACAGTGGGTTGATGCTATGTGGGGGCGAAGGGGTGAGATCCTTTGGGTATAGCAGGTCTGGAGAGGAGAGATGCTGCATGCTGCCAGAGCCCATGTGGAAAAATCCAGTACGATAATACGGCAGAGACCGAGAGAGATCATACGTTTTTAACCAAGCATCGTACTGTATTCTTTTTAGCGCAGCATAAGCAAACAAGCTCACCCCAGGGGCTGAAATTTGAATAAGCAAATTCTTGCTTCTGATGTTTTTAATGAGTTCAGTGCAGATGCAACAGAGTAGACTGGCTTTTTAAGGCAATGAGAAACGAGGCCACAAAATAATTACTTTATTAATATTTTCTTGTTTACAGGAGAGCAGGGACGACTCTATGCACTTACTCTTGTCATATCGGGTATGTGCAAGTGCAATTCAATCCTCTGTTCATCCCCCAAAAATGTTGGTAACACTTTACAATACAATAAGAATTCATTAATTAATAGTGACCATGAAATGCTTAGAAATCTTAGTTCATGTCAATTTCAACATTTAATAATACATTTTTAAAATCAAAAGTTGCATCTGTTAATATTATTTTATAGTCCTGAACTAATTTGAACTAACAATGAACAGTTGTATTATATGTTGTGTATATACACATATTGTATATACAAACATTATGTATGTATATTAATGCTGTCAAGCGATTAATCGTGATTAATCGCATCCAAAATAAAAGTTTTTGTTTACATAATATATCTGTGTGTACGGTGTATGTTTATTATGTATATATAAATACACACACATGCATGTATATATTTAAGAAAAATAAGTTGTGTTTATATTTTAAATATATTTATATATAATATAAATTATATGTAAATACATGTAAATATATTCAAAATATGTACTGTATGTGTGTGTATTTATATATACATAATAAACACATGCAGTACACACACATATATTATGTAAACAAAAACTTTTATTTTGGATGCGATTAATTGCGATTAATCGTTTGACAACATTAATATATATATATATACTTATTTTATTTTATTTAGTGATCCCTCCTTCACAAGTTGCATATAGTATTATTAAATTAAGACATATAAATGACATTGATAATGACTGCTAATATGTTGAAGACTTTTGAGGCATAATTCCAAATCTTTAAACTGAGCGTTTTCAGAATAAATGAACAAAAACCATAAAAGTGTTACATTTTCCCGGCACTCCCTACTTTGTAATTCAGGGGTTGTTTCTGCAAGGATACAGTGAATCATACATCATTTATCTGTAAAAACCAGCTTAACTTATTCGAATTCTGTATTTTCTCACAGAAATACCACACTCGATACTGCAGTCCACCTGCTTTGGTCATGTAAGTGTGTGTCGTTTTTCATTTTATGCTTTAAATGTTTCATGGTTGCTTTGTTAGTGAAGTGGGACGTTGCCAGATTCCTCTTTTTCAACCTTATTTTGTGTTCTTATTTTGCATTTGAAAGGACCACCCATTGGGCTCAGCGGAGAGAGATTCCCTGCACGCCGTCTCCTTGGAATATTAATGGGCTTCTCCTGGGAAAACTGCCCACAGAATGGGCCACTCCATCGCTGTCTCTGTTTCCGCTCAGCTGTCCTGAGGGTGCGTGAGGGTGTTCGGTACAATCCGGTCTGGAGAAACCTCAAGTACACCTCAAACTTTTGTTTTGATGTTTCATTAAGAACTCTTGAATGTTTCTTTTTCCACCCCCCAGAATGTCAGTAAAATATATTACCACTTTTATTACACAATAAAAAGCACAGGAACGGCTACATTTATTATGTCAAATTCCTCAGTCTCTACTTTATAACCGTAATCAATAATAAGACATATTGATTGAAATGAGGGGGCCATTAGCACATGGGGGATTTGGGAACAGATCGTTTGAGCGTTGAGAGAGGTGACAGTGATGCCGCTCACCACTGGTTTTCATCAGCGGAGCTGCATAGTTCTTTCCCACTCGATGGCAGAAGCCGAGACGTCTCATCTGTTTCGGCGTTATGAGAGTGACCATTCTAATGGCTTCTACAGATGGCAGAGCTCACTGAAGTCATTGCTCTTTTCCTTCAATCCCTTTCACATTCTTTATCTGTATTTGACTCTCTGTCACTTGCTTTCAGTCATTCCACTGTTTCCTCTGCCCCAGTCTGGGTCTCTGAGGTGAGCGCTGAGTTTTTGGCATTTTTTGGCACATTTATGTGGAGAATTCAGTTTTTACCAGCCTGACAAGCTGTGAATAAAATAAGATGAAGATTATAAAGATTATAAAGATTTTAAATGGCAGGGAAGGGTAATTACAAATAAAGTTGGAATGCCAGGGAATAATACTAATACTAAAAAAATATATATATATATATATATATATATATATATATATATTTATAAAGTCCTTATTGTCACTTGATCAGTTGAAATAAAATCACTAATTTCCCCAACTTTTCAGCGGTAGTGTAGAATATATGGCCATAGATGATAGATAGATAGATAGATAGATAGATAGATAGATAGATAGATAGATAGATAGTTTCTGCGTAATTTACATAGAAATGTCCCATCCCATATCCTGGGTAAATGTTAGTTTTGTGGGCATCATCATTTCGGTGCATATGGTAACATAAATAACTGGCCCTGTATTGAAACAGCTGCGACTAATGGACCCCTGACCCTCCACTGTTGGCTGCTGATCCTGTCGTCTCTCCTTCACATACGAATTCGATGTTTATTAATTGGATCTGTGCATGTATGCTGTTTTTATTGAGTGAAGAATGGAAAGTGACCGCGATCAGACAGAGAAACCCTGAGGCCAAGCGAGCCAGTATATTCGGCATCACTACTTTATTATTTGCAAAATCTGAGACTGTAACGATTCTACAGTGTTAAAGCCAAAAGTGGGTAAATGTTAGTTTTGTGGGCATCATCATTTCGGTGCATATGGTAACATAAATAACTGGCCCTGTATTGAAACAGCTGCGACTAATGGACCCCTGACCCTCCACTGTTGGCTGCTGATCCTGTCGTCTCTCCTTCACATACGAATTCGATGTTTATTAATACTATCCCATATTTACAAAGGGATCTGTGCATGTATGCTGTTTTTATTGAGTGAAGAATGGAAAGTGACCGCGATCAGACAGAGAAACCCTGAGGCCAAGCGAGCCAGTATATTCGGCATCACTACTTTATTATTTGCAAAATCTGAGACTGTAACGATTCTACAGTGTTAAAGCCAAAAGATGTTTGTTGTTTCTGGTTTTGTAATCACATACCAGCATAGATGGCGCAATCACATAATAGAGCTCAAAATTACAATAAATTGGTAGAACATGATGTCTTTGGCATGACGGACTTGTCAGTATTTACCTTCGCTGACCGTTTAGAGGAACAAACCTAGGGAACCACATAGGAAAACCAAATGCTGTTTTTCTTTCCTTTTTTCACACTAACAATACGAGTGTTATAATGTGCTGACTATAGGGCCCTCCTGCTGTTTCATCTGTGAGAGGGAGGCAATGCTTACGTAAGAAAACTAAAGCTCGTCATTGCCAGAGACGTTCCACCCCCTAAGGCTAAACACAAACCATACATATCCATGCTTAGTGCTGTAGAAATGTAACTGGACACAGATTATGAGTCGACGTCAGACAATAACAAGCCGTAGGTGTCTGTTTTACGTTTTATTCTCACTTTTATTGCAAATATAATACAAAAGATGAGCTTCTTCAAAGGCAGTAAAATGTTAAATTTTTAAAGACAAAAAACTTGTTCAGTCTTGTGTAAAAAAGATACCAACATCAGTACTGAGATCACTGAAGTTGAGTAAAGCACAAAATCGGAAAGGGAAAATGTATAAGCAAAGAAAGATGGCAACTAACTAACTACGTAAAAACAACTACAGCTTCAAATTAGAGCATCGTAAAACTTTCCAAACGAAAGACTACTCTTCCAGTTATTTTAGAAACTGCAACAGTATTTTGTGCATGACACAACTGGTTAGAAATAAAGTCAAATAAACATTTAAAATAGAAAAATCTACATACGATAAATAAACATGATGAATACAGAATTTTACCATATTAAGTACCAGCCCTCTGTCTAAATGGCCCGTTGGATTACATGACACCATATTCAGAGGCGCAAAATAACAATTCTTTTTTTTTTGTATAAAGTATTAAAGAATAAAATGCAAATAATTTCTTTGAAATAAAATTAATACTAATAAATAAATTAAAGGGGTTAAGATGGGATACAGAAGGAGGGGCTGTAAGATGACACCTGCACGACTGCAGGCAGCTAATGACAAGCAGAGGTCAAAGGGCACTTCCCGGAGCTGCGACACATGCTGTTAGACACTCAGTAAATTCTCAGCTGCCGCTGCCACGTAGATATTCCCGCTAATTTGCTTCCAACATTTGACAGGCACTGATGCTGGTTGGGGATAAAAGCGTGAACGAGAAAAGGAAAAAAAAGGTTGGATAGGGATGATATTTTGCAGGAACATAAATAAAGGGCACAGAGTCAAACTATAAAACATCAAATGCACCGCACGAGGACTAGAGACAATAACGGGTGTTACTGATGGAAAAAGGTGGGAGAAAAACAAGGAATGACTACCAAGAGTGGTTTAGTAAAAATAGACTTTTCTACAAGAAACACAGAAGTCCGAAAATACGAAAAAAGAACATGTTAAGAAAACATACACAGTACATATTAAAGTATCAATAATCAATAAGTCCTCACAGAGGAATCATTTCTCAAAAATGTTTCTTTTCTTGCAAACAAGGCTAAAAATATATATATTCTAATCACAATTTCAGGCGATTAAAAAGGCACATTGGGAGCCGTTTTTCTTGAAGTTCAGCTTTCTTTCCTACATTTCATTGTTGTGTGTGTGTGTGGGGGGGAATTCAAGTGTGTGTTTTAAAGAGAGTGGAATGATGCGGAATGAGTCCCGTCAGTCTCTGCTGCGTATCTGCTCGACGGTGGGCGCGTGACGGCGAGTCCTCAGGGTCTGGACAGCTGTGTGTAGACCGGCTGCTGGTCCCAATGCTGGGGACTGTGGTTGGATTGGGGAATGGAAGGAACCCCGGCAGTGTCAGCGATGGGTGTGTACATGGGCCTCTGGCTGGAGCTCATGTAGCTGAAGGTGGAGTACAAGCCGGAGCTTTGACCTCCAGCGTGGGTGTAATAGGAGTTGGCGCCGCCCTGGTGGTCAGAGTAGTCGTACTGCGCCCGGGTGATTGATGGGAACGAAGTACTGTAGTGCTGGAGGTTGAAGGAGCCGTAGCTGACGTGCTGCGGCGAGCCCTGCTGCTGCTCGTTGTAGTGGCTGGGACTGAGCTGTTCGGTTTTGATGTGCGTCGTTCTCGGTTGGTCTTGATCCCCGGCGCCGCCCGTCCCGAGTGGAGTCAGCTGGGCGCTTGGAGGGCTGCCGTTTTGAGGCTTCCCCATCCAGGTGGCGTAGCCGGCCACGTAGGACGCGTTGGTGGCGTGCCCGTTCGGCGGCAGGTACTGGTCAAACTCGTTGACATCGAAAGTTTCGATGACATCGTTGCTGAGCTCGCCGATGTCAACGTCGCGGAAGTCGATGTTGAGCGGACGCCCTGTGCTTTCCTGAAGCGGACGGGCCTCTCGCTTCAGATCCACTTTGCCTGGCTGCACGTCAGTTTTTGGGGTGGTGGGAGGAGTGGGCGGCCCTTGGGACTGGCCTGTTTGGAAACGGTGGAGGAGGGGAGAGAAGTTAGAGAGCGAGTTAAGCACCGCACAGGGGACGCAAGAGCGAAGGAAGGGAAAACAAAAACTGAGATTAACTCGAAATGGCCCACCTGAGTGCTCGCTGGGCGAGTGCACCTCTCCCATGCTGGACGCGGGCGAGTCGGCTTGCTGGAGGGCTTTGAAGATGGCGTTTGGGGAGATGTGAGTCTGCTCGCTGCCGTCCTCAGACTCGCTCTGGCCGTTCTTCACCGACTTTCTCCGCCGAGGCTGATACTTGTAGTCGGGGTGATCTTTCTTGTGCTGAACCCTGAGGCGCTCAGCCTCCTCCACGAAGGGACGCTTTTCGCCCTCGTTCAGCAATCTGCCAATGAGTACAGCAATGAATCTTTCCCTACAGTACATACTGTTACTACTGTGTATCCTGCATGCATCCATTTAGTACTTATGCATATGAATTAATGCAATATATTTAATTGCAAATACATTTTAAACTCTAATAGACATGTATGTTTCATAAGAAAAGCCTTTACCTCCAAAGTTTGCCCAGAGTTTTGCTGAGCTCGGCGTTGTGGAGGTGCGGGTATTGATCCGCGAGCTTCCTGCGCGCCGCTTGCGCCCACACCATAAACGCGTTCATCGGTCTCTTCACGTGCGGCTTGTTTTTGCTCGAGCCGTTCACTCTCACCGGCATGGGCACGAGCGTCCAGTCGTACCCTTTCAGCACCTGAGACACCGCATCTCGGATGCACACCGGGAACTTGTCGTCTTCGACCTTCTTGAACTCGCCGAGCGTCCCGTCCGGAGCTATGAGGCTGTTCTCGGCCGGGCGGGTGTTCTCCGTGTCGGAGCCCGAACCGGAGCCCGGGGAGCCCGCGGAGTCCTCGGACATGCTCGGACTTGGGGCATCAGACAGACACTTCTCTTGCTCATCTGTCATTTTCAGGAAGGGATCTAGTAGATTCATGCGCAGACTGTAGATGGACAATCTCAGAGAATTCGTACGGCAGTCCCGACTGAACGCTTCGCCTCCCCAAAATACTTTCCAGCTATTAA